ACACGGCCTCAAAAATGGATTATATAAACCTCAATGAAATGAAACCATGCTTTTCTCCAGTGAGGATTTATGGACAGAACTGTAGCAATGCAAAGCACTACAGATAAATAAGATATGATGAAGCTTATGTAGAAGAACTCCATGTCCATGAAACCGAGCTCCTCACTTTCATCATCTGCAGATGACAAGACATGTGTTGATCCGGTGCTAGCACAGTCGTCAGGTAATGGACGACCACAGAGATAAGGATTTCCCTGATAACTAACTTCATCGAAAGTTCCAAACTGACCGTTCTCCGGTATCATACCTGTTAAATTGTTATGCGCCACATTGAAGACTGCCAAAGCGTTTAACTTAATCAGACCAGTGGGGATCCTCCCACTTAAGTTGTTATAGGAGAGATCTAAGCTCTCAATCAGTCGCAGGTTTGAGAATGTTTCTGGAATTGTTCCAATAAGGTTGTTGTGGGACAAGTTGAGTGCACGGATCTCACTTGAGTTTCCAAGGCCATCCGGAATTTCACCATGTAATTTATTTGAAGAGAGATCAATTCCTGACATAGAATCGAGCATGCGTCCTTTGTAAGAATAATAATTTCCCTTTGTCATGAATGTTGCTGTAATTGGCATATCAGCTAATTTGAAAGTTCCAATTCCTTGGAAAGACACGTGATAGGCCCTCTCTAACTCAACCTTAGACATGTAAGAATCGAATGTTCGAAATGAACTGAACTTGTTTAAAAGCATTCCAGACTTCTCCCTGGTTACCTCTCGCGTCATGTTACCAAAGCAGCACGGAATTTGACCGACAAGAAAATTAAAAGAAAGGTCTATCATGCTTAGTATGTTCATCTCACAAAATTGGTGAGGGATTGTGCCTTCAAAATGGTTACCTCTGAGAAGAATAACGCTCAGGCTTGATAGATTGCCAATCCATTGAGGGATACTTCCAATGAACTTATTCAATCTAAGATCCAATGTCACCAAAGAGGAGCTATTATAAAATGCATACGTTAGCTCACCCTCCAATTGGTTATTGTTCATATAGACATGACGTATCCGTGATGGATTGAAGCAGGATGGGACTGAACCACGTAGCTTGTTCTCAGATAAATCTAAGACGCTAAGATCACCGAGATTGCAAATATCCTCCGGGATTGGACCCTCAAGCTGGTTGTTAGACTGTTGAGAAATGAGATTAGTCAAAAATGTACAAAGGATTTTACAGCCTGTTGCCCACTTGTGGTCTACCCATCACAGACTATTCTGGAAAATAGCTTACCTACACTGTCCACTTTTTCAAATTGTCCCATAGGCTA